AACTCAACACTAACAGCAGCTTCTTGCTTTGTCAAATGGGCCAGAGTTAAACCAAAACAAAGCTGGCAATTGACTTTTATCCACTTACATCCAATTAAGAGGAACTCTTGGCTCCTCATGAGTTGTTATTCCCTGCAAAGAGAGAAAGTTTGGAAACCGAAAAATCCCCAAGTGCCACAAAAATGTTAGGTTTTGGTCTGACCTCCTAACAAACGGCAGCTTCCCTTCAAAGAGATTATTGGTCTTGCTTCCCACTTAGCCATCTAAAATGAAGCAGCTAGATTTCCAGAAGCGCCCAGCAGCCGACAGCTCCCTTTGAGATCCTTTCTCCTGCATGCTCAGACTCCACAGCAAGAGGTGATGCTCCTCCTTCTGCATTTCAGTGCAGGGGGGGGGGGGTTAGGGGGGGAAATTATGGCCACCTCATTAAGATGCCTAAATCAGGCTTGGGCTTGTTTGCAAGCCTAGCCCTGGCTGCCATGGCTGGTGGTCACTTCTGATCATCCCGTCCAGTTGTTCAAGGGAGGTTTACACGGCAATTCAGCCTCGCCTTGGAGTTGCTACAATACGGGTGAAGGGTCCCGTTGCGACACAGGGTCGTTTTTATGGGGGAAAGCAGAAGGCAAGATGCTTCAACAGTGGAAGGGGGGAGGAATAGGTCTTTCTGAGAAGATCAAAGGAGCAGAGAAGGGGGGGACTGACTTTTGCAAGAGGAAAATAGGGCTCATCCTGCTGCCTCCACGTTGCAATTCATGGCTTGTTTTCGAGACCCAACATATGATTTCTGCAATAATGGGGGAGGGAGGACTTGGTTAAACTGTAAATGAGTATTACTTCGAGCACTCTGAGGAAATATGTTCTTCCCCCATAGAGCCCATACATTATTTCCACGTAGTTACAGGGCCTCACATTTCCTGGAACTATCATCCAGACCTTAATTCTCCTCACACGACATCCCTTTAAAATTGTGAGGCTCTCTTAATCAACCTTTGTATCAGCGGCAGATTTGCAGTATGACCTAATTTGAAAGATGTCTCAAAATGCTGACTCAAAGGGTTGGTGAATAAAGGCCAGTCATTGCCGCTGTGACACTAATGTGATGCAAAACAAAATCGAGTTGCATCAGCTGAACATTAGTTTGCAAAAAATATTAGTGATTGAAGCCACTTGCTGGTGATCTTTTATTTATACTTACGAGATTTATACTTTTTGGGGTCTGAAACGGCTCTAAAACCAACTTCTGGCAGAGAGGCACGAAGACTCTTTAATGGTGAAAAATCCCAGTCGGATCTATACATCTAAGCTGCATCATTTGCACTTCATAATCTCCTCTCTTTTACAGAGCAGGAGGCAGACACATTATTTTAGAACTTTTATTAAAATATTTATACAGCAACAGATGAAAATCCTCATCCTAATATGTCACTTTGCATTTTTCGGTTATGTTCCAAGTCTTTATCTTTTTTCCTTCTCTAATTGAAATGCAGCGATACTCCTTCATTCTCTGGATAAGTAACTGTCTTAAAATGACTAGCAATTACTTTGGGAAGCAAAGAAATAAAAAGACAAGAAGAGATTTGGGCCAGAAAGTTTATGGGGAAAAAAAGTCCCTCAAAAAGCAAAACAAAACAAAAAAAAGCCCAGCATAGTTTAATTTAGCGTCGCAAAAAAGAAAAAGTAAGTATAAATTATTGAGCTTTTTCCTACGATTTTATGGGGGCATCGTGTAAATGAATTTTTTTTTCTTTAGCTTCTATTTTCCATGCTTTCTTAAGGAAACTTATTTGAGCGAGAGCAACCTGGCTAGAGAGGAGCAGAGTGCATTTCTTAGTTGGTTTGTCAAATATTGGCTGCTAATTAACACTCAGAAGAGTTACTTAAGAATCAGGGGTCTAGGGACGAACCACCTCAGCAGGAACTGTTTTTCCCTGTGGGTTTTTTGATTTTATTTATTTATTTTAATTTTTAAATTGAAATGTCAATAATGCAAATTGTCTAATATGTGCTGATAAAACGTCTACGACTTTGCACCAAAGTGACTGAAAACCAGACACACACGCACAGAGAACAAGGGAGACAGGCCATTAATTTAAAATTTAGAGGACCAATAAGTTTTGATAGCAGTGGGTTACTGTGCTAATGATTATTTAACTCGCTTCATGTTGGGTTAAGTATGTATGCCTATGTAAAGTGTAAAGCCTTATTGAAGTGCGACAATGAGACTTTTGCCTCTGAAATGTTATATTCAAAGCCAGGGGAGGAAAGCAGCAAGATTATAAAACACAGTTATTATATGATAGCACATTTCAAGCATTTGTGAAGATTTTGCTATTGCAGGAAAAAAACCTCAACATACACAAACCCAAAATACTTCTACATTTCCCCTCTGCTGCTTCTTAGGAGCTATTTTAGTATGGCTGTAATTATTGATGGTTGTAAGCACAGAATGGGGAGCATGGCTGGATGCTGTACCTTGCTGGTTATTTTCCTAATTCTTCTTCTCATCCTTTTCCTTGGTTTTATTATTTTATTTTATTTTATTTTATTTTATTTTATTTTATTTTATTTTTTTATTTTTAAATTATTTTTCTTGAGTGTGTATTTCCACAATATAAGATACCGAGGGGTTTGGGGTTTGTTTGTGTCTTTCAAGCTTGAAGGGACATCTGTACATGTTATTCAATGAAATACTGATCATTCTTTTTTCTAGTAAAAGGCAATGGCACTTCTAAGTAGAGGAGAGAAAGCAAATTAAAAAAAAGTAAGAATAGCAATAAATGTTTGATCCCTTGTAAATGGTTTGCAGACGTTTTTAGTCCATAATTCTTCAGGTACAGTGTTGTTTGGGATTTATTTATTTATTTATTTACTATTTCTAAAGGGATTGCACTTGCTAAACCCCTCATTTCAGGTTGTTAGAGCTTTATGTGGTGGATTCCTTAGCAGTAAGTAGTGTGTGAGTACTGCCATTTGTGAATATTTTGTGTCCTTCAGCCCTCCTAGGAAGGTGTAAGTAGGAATGCTCTAAACCTTGTAAGTGTTGCCTATGGGGAAAGGATGGCAAAGTAATGGCTAATGATCTGGAAGCTATCTGGCATTCAGAGACAAATACTAAACTTTATATATATACATATATATAAAAAGAGATTTTTTTTTTCCTTGAAAAAGAGGCAAAAAGAAAGCAATGAAAATTTATGACCTTAACATTCCTTCAGGGTCAAGCAATTTATCAAATTCTCTCACTTTCTGGTTTCAATTACACAGCTATTGTGGAAGGAACTTATTTTAGCAGGTTCATTTGCCTCAGTAGGGAATACAGGACTTTGGCCTAATGCTTCACCTTTAGTGCAGGCCATTTGAGCCTTAGAACAAATACCAATCATCACTCTTTGGGAAAAAAAAAATAGATCTGCATCGGCGTGGCCTATTGGAATGGGGTTTCTGTCAAGGTAAACGGTTGTCGGCAATGACTGTGGTAGAGTGGCGATAAATCCCATTTTATTGCTGAAAAATTCCAGCTTCTCTCCATGCCTGACAGCTCCCCACATTCTCGTACCCATTTGGGCAATTTCTGCACTATGTCCATCTGGTTCTTATTACCTCTCAACCTGCCAGTGTCTGATCCAGAAAAAGTGCAGGTCAAAAACAGGGGAAAGAAACCTAGGTGATGGACAAAACAGAAAGAGAGTGATTGAGAGACCGAGCCGCGCTCCCTGTTCCTCCCTCCCCAACAGAAAAACAAACTAGGTTTGAGGGGGATAAACCATTTAAGGGAGGTTGCTAGCTTAATTATGAAGTTGTCTGCAATATCCTTACAATAGAAAATTAAATAGGTAATAATCTACGCACTCCAAGCTTCAATAACACCACCAAATATTTGATGTTTGCACAGGACACTAGTGACACCTGCCTAAATAAAACATTTCAGGAGAAATGGGAAAAGTCAAGACTTCAAACCCTCGTTTGTAGGAGTCCTGATGTGCTCATTTCATCTGCAGACTTTTCCATCGTGTGCCTTTGGCATTCGGGAGGGTGAAACTTGCCTCCAAAGAATCACTTGGGGTTGTAAATTTTTGCAGGAGGTGCACCAAAGTATAAATAAATTGTAATTTGAAAAAAATAACATTAAATAAACATGTTACACTAGAGTCATGTGATAGAAAAGAAAAATCTTCATTTTCGTGTGTTTTGCATGCTGCTGAATCCAGACCTACTTTAGGAAGTTCAGTTTCTTCCCAAAGTCCCCTGTAATAAGTAGAGAGAATGTCTGGCCATTTTTTTAATTAAGAAAACCCAAACAAACAAAAAATCAGTCCAGGACAGCTGAACTGTTCTAAAGTCAAAACAAACAAAAAAAAATGGAGCACTTGTTCTTTTCCTAGTTAAAATGATATCTTGTGGTCAAGGACCCACTAGTGCTATCAGGAGACATGTCCTGGTCTACCAACTCAATCTCTTCTTGTCAAGACAGCCCTGTGAGTTTAATTGCAATTCCTATATTTATCCTACCTGAAACAGCTCATATTCCACCCAAAACGCTGCTTGTTGCATCTTTTTCCCCAGAAGACGATCATTGCTATGGACTTATGATCTCATGTTAGCTTTACACAGCCTCTTCCCCCATTTCTTGAAGATGTAAGGGAAGTTAAACCCAACTTCTTGGAGCTGTCTCCTACCTTAAAGGCCTGACTAAATTCCAACAGCAGGAAATTCAGAGCATGCCCTACAGTGTGTTTTGTGATCCTTTCTGAGCATCCCACGTTGGGCACCTCATATACAGTAGGACATGCTGGTAGGTGTATGGTCTGCTCTAGCATCGAAAGAATGGACATTGTGATTGTGGTTTTATGTTAGGAATTACATGCTCGTGGCTTGTACGAACATGTTGGTTTCCAGAAGCTTGAGCTGGGGCTCCAGCAGTGAAACAACAAATGGGGGTATGGTTTCCAATGGAATTGCATGAACTTGTTGGCATTGAACAATGAGAGAGGACATAAGATTAGGAGAAAGCAAAAGGTGGGGAGAGTTCAAGTTCTTACTTCAGAATGGGTCACCTAAAAATGCCATATGTAAAACGCAACATCCAGCCTACCACCTGCCCCTGCAGGTTCTCCCTCTGCTGTTGGTGTACCCATTTAAAATAAGAATATAGGGGATTTTGCTTTAATGGGAAAATTCTTCCTCCCTGTTACCTTTTGGTGTCAGTAATAGCACTGAGAAATCTGACTGCATATGGTTAGTGTTTGCTTGCATTTGTCATGCGTTATAGAATCAGATTTTTTAAAGTATTATTTTCTGCACAGCCTTTTATTCAGTCGTGGGGGGACACTATGCAGATTTATATACCAAGCTATAGGAGCATGGTCTGAAATGCCTACTAAAGCCTTTCCTGGATGAACCACTCTCAACCACCCCATCCACTTTGCCTGCGAAGCCACTGAAAACAAAAGAGGCTGACAACAGGGGAAGCCCCAACTTTGACAATAAAAATATGTCAGCATGAAAATGGTTAATGGTGAGTATTATAGCTTCAAAAGAGCCCATTGGCTACCCCTAAAGGATGCCCTGCAATTGTTAAACTCATCAGATGCAACTACCCCTCCTCAGCTAGTCCTTACATTTGTCTGGCTAACAGTAAAAAAATACTATAATAAATCGGTAACATATGTTGCCAGACAAGAATAAGTGATATAAATAAAGAGTCAAGAGACATAGCCCCTCAAGAACAATGTGTAAAGATTTAAACTTTCAATGTATTAGTTAAGCTAGGAACATTTTAGGAGTAACTTGAAAGCGGTGTTTATATCATTCCTTCTCTTTTTTTTTTATCTTTTTTCCTTTTTCCTTTTTTTTTTATCTTTTTTTCTTCTCTTCAGATTGCATTTTAAATCAAAATGTTCTCCATGACTGACTGCTTTGCAGCACTAGGGTAAGTCCCATTTTTCCACAGCTTAAACAAAAAATATGCCTAAAAAATCTGTGCCAGGAAGGCATTTTGTTGGGTTTTGGTTTAGGAAATAAACACGATGTTGCTGGGAAGACAGCTTCTTTTTTTTCTTTTCTTTTCTTTTTTTTTAATCTAAATATATAAAATTGTGCATTTGCAAACCGAGCTACTGTCAAAGCCAGTTCTTCATGAAGGTGACAAGTTACCCAACTTGTAATAAATTAGCAGTAGCAGCATTAAAAAAGAAAGTATAAACCAAAATACACTTTGAGACTTGGCTGGATATTTTATTTATTTTTTTCTTTTATTGAGACATCCTTTGAAAAATGGCATAAAATAAATAGTTTTACAAAGCAACAATATAATCAATCTCTAAACGAGAAGATAAATCACGGATTTCATTAACTGCTGGTAGCCAATTTAAATTGTAGTCTTGTCCATAATGTCTATCTATCTATGTATGTCCAAGTTATATTAAAAACCTTTAAATGGCTTTGTAATATCAGCTACATCTAGCTATTATAATAATTAATGATACTGTTTTATAAATCAATATATGTATTCTTGATAAATTCATATCCAGTTAATGGTGTAATTTAAATAAAAAATTAATGTAATAAAGGACATACTGGAATAGGCAGGAAATCTTTAAAGGTTAAGAGGCAAATTTGTCTAAATTCTTTTCTTTGTACCTATTTTTTGAGAGAGCCTCCATTGAAATTCAGCTGATAGCAGGCTGGCTCTTCAGATCGCACTCTTGCCATTAGTTTTGTATTAAGAGCGCTCGGTGAGTTTTTGCAGCCAAAGGAAAGGGAAAGCTCCTTCAGCGAAGTGAATACTTTCTGCCCTGGTTTCTTATCCTGCTGCAAAACTGCAAACAAAAAAAAAATAGATCACTCAGTGTTTGGCCAGAAAAAGAAATGGTAAAAAATGTTTTTTTTCTTTATTTTTTTAACCATTTCCTGTTGATTCTGTATTTGTATTATTACAAGGATATTTTGCCTTTTCTATACAGTGTCATTAAAAAAGGTAAAATATGGATATTTTGTTCCAGGCATGAAGTGCATTCAGAGGAGCGTGGAAACCCTGCAGACTGTTCAGTGTAATAAAAAGCTGTTCTTTATCTCTTGTTTTAAATACAGTTAATCCTGTTTATTCAGCAAACACATCTAAGAGCAACGTGGAGGAAAACACTGAAAAAAAAGAAAAAGCTGAAAATTGCCTTTTTGTATTTGCAGTGGTGAGAAACCATGGCTCTGTTCCTTTGCTTTTATTTATAGTCAGTAACCACAAAATGTATCTCTAACAATAACAGGGGATTTTAATAGGCAATATTAATTGTTCTTCCCCTAACTTTTGATCTTAAATGTTTCAAACAAAAGCCCGCTGCCTGTTTATACACCAAATTTGTTTGAAGAATATCTTTTCGAAATGATGCAAAACATGACACTTTGTCACCCGCACTGACATGGTACAGAAATGTCATTTAATCCATCGAGCGATTTATTTTTTTGGGGGTAGGTTTTTTTTTCTGAACATTGCTCTGCCTTATT